GGTGAGGCGGGAGGTGCTGCTCTGAGGCCGCGGAACGGGGCACCAACAGCTGCAGCAGCAGCTCCCTCCTCCCTTTCGCAAGCTCCTCTCTTCGTTAGGCGGTTCCCTCCTCCCGGGAGTGAATGTCTTCTTGCCTTTCATGAGCTGCCTCTGCCTGCTAACTCGTGGGAAAGAGGATCCGCTCGCCCGCCCGTCCCTCCTGGTGCTGCTTCTTTCCCGAGCTCACGCCGTGGGCCTCCAGGGGGAACGGGCATCACGACACCTGCTCAGCGCCGCGGGCTGCAGGGGCACCTCTGCTCCGGCTCCTGGGGCACCTCCTCCCCCTCCTTCTCCGCGGCCCGTGGTGCCTGCAGGGCCGCTTCGCTCACACGTTCTCGCTCCTCTCCCGCAGCTGCTGTTGCACGGTGGAGTTGGGTTGTTTTTTCCCTTTTTTAAGACGTGTTACCACGGAGATGCTACTGACGGAGCTGATGGGCTCTGCTTCGGCCAGCGGTAGGTTCATTCTGTAGCTGTCTGGAACTGGTTTTGCCCCACATGGGAACAGAATTTGATACCTTCTCACAGAAGCGACTCCTGCAACCACCCCACTACGGAAACCTTGCCGCATAAACCGAATACGTTCCCCCGCTCACCTCTGTGAATCACATACTCAGGAGTTTTCATTAAAATATGCATTCATCACCCAACCTATAATCTTCAGAAACTTAGTTAACATCGACAAAATAACGCCCCACACCAGAATCAAAATAACGTTGTCATAACACCTACACATTCCATCCCTTGTCCCTTCACCAAAACAAAATTCCCCCCCATTATCAGGCTTACTGCTCTTCAGAAGCGTTTTGCCTGTTCCCTCTCCGAATTCCTGTCCTTATCTCCGGTTCCTCATGCCCCATGTCGGGTGCCACCAAGGACTGTGGTGGATTGATCTCGGCCTGCTGCCAGGTGCCTGACAAGCTACTCTTAACACTCCCTCTCCTTCAAAGGACAGGGGAAGCAGATGTGGATTGAAGGAAGGACAGTTACTGTCATGGGCAAAACTGACTCGACTTGGCAAACGTAATTTAATTTATTGCCAAATGAATGGAGTAGGAGAAAGAGAAAGAAAAACAAATCTTTAAAACGCCTTCCGCCCCCAACCTTCCCCTCTTCCTAGGCATCTTCACTCCTGACTCTTCACCTCCTTCCCTTGAGCAGCGCAGAAAGATGATAGGGAATGTGGTCTGTTTGTAATACTTCATCTCTGCCACTTCCCCCTCACACTCTTCCCTGCTCCAGGGTGGAGTCTGTCTTACAGGAGACAATCCTCCATGAACTTCTCCAACATGAGTCATTCTTGTGGGCTACAGTTCTTCACGAACTGCTCCAGCACCTGTCTCTTCATGGGGTGCAGTCCCTCAGGAAGAGGCTGCTCCAGTGTGGGTCTGCCACAGGGTCACACCTTCTGCCAGCAAACCTGCTCCAGCAGGGGTTCTCTACAGGCTACAGCTTCATTCAGGGAGCATCAGCCTGCTTCAGTGTGGCATCCTCCACAGGCTGCAGGTGGATATCAGCTCCACCATGGGCCTTGATGAGCTGTAGGGGGCCAGCCTGTCTCGCCATGACCTTTACCACAAGCTGCAGGGAAATCCCTGCTCCACCTCCTGGAGCACTTCCTCCCCCTCTGTCTTCACAGACCTTGGTGTCTGCAGCGTTTTTGCTCTCACGTACTGTCACTCCTTTCTCTGGTCTGCCGTTGCACATCATTTTTTCACATTTCTTAACTATGTTATCACAGAGGCTCTACCACCATTGCTGATGAGCTAGGCCTTGGCCAGTGGTGGGTCCGTCTTGGAGTCAGCTGGATCTGGCTCTGTCAGACACGGGGGCAGCTTCTGGCATCTACTCATAGAAGCCAATCCTGCAGAACCTCAAGCTCTTTTGACTGGTTTGCTTTAGCATGTTTCTGCCATGCTGGGTGGGACTAAGTGGGTACCTGAGCTCTTACGGGAGACGTCTTGTTCTCAGAACTGATTCTGACTTTAGCCATGGAAATTTGCAACATCTTGTTTGCCTTCTGCTTTGTAGCCACAGTAAAAGCTCATTTAAATGATTCATTAGAGGAGTGAGCTTAAAAACTCTAATAAGGCAGATAAACCAAATTGATGCATATGAAATATTTCTGTATTGGAGCTGAGCTTTTTGTATGGAGCTGGGGGTGGTGCAGCTGGATTCTGTCCCTCCATGTCTTTGCGTGGAGCTACAATGGATACTTGTGTTGTTTCCCAAAGAATGCAGGAACTGCAACAGTAGTGGCCAAATGGTGCACAGCCTCAAATCCTGTCAGTAACAGCAGTCTCCAAGTTCTTGGCTTGCTGTGGACCTGGAACAGTTTTGCTCCCCTAAAATAAGACAATGAATGAGGAGGTGGCAGCTGCAGGCTGTCTGTTTCTCTCTCACTGAGGGTCAATGAAACACCTCCCTTCAGCACGACATGTGTGGTCTGAGTGTCCCAAAATCCTAGGAGCAGAGGTGATGTAGCACTGCTTCCCCTCTGCCAGCCAAGGAGGTTGCAGAGCAGGAGGTGCAGGTGAGGGACGGTGGCACTCTGCAGATAGGTGGGGAAAATTGCACATCTATTCCACTGACGTTCATATCAATGCTGAAACTGGAAAGACTTAGATCTTGCCAAAAATAAACCTGATATGTTTCCATTTCTCTAAGTGTCAGCTGAAGAGGTGAACTCTTGGGGTTTTAGATGTCTTTCAAGTAAGACACAGAGGAAAAAGTATTTTATGACTGTGCACTGCTACGGTGAGGACCTTGCCTGTGACTTGTCACTGCAACATAAGCTAAGGTAAATACTGCCAGCATGTATGTGTGAAGGTATGCCTGTTTCTTAAAAACCTGTGATTTAAAGGATTTTTTTTTGTTTGTTTTTTTCTCCACTCTTCCAGACACAGTGGTGGATTATGGAGGGGAACTTGACACTCCTGCTGGGCAGGGTGGGCTCTGAGGACATGTTGGTGAGTAATTTCCCACTGGGCTGAGTAATTTCCCCCTGCAAGCTGAGGCTGGGAGCACACCTGAGGGGTCCACTTTTGCCTGAGGGGACACATAGAACTGCTAGGGACAGCAAGGGTTTAGAAGAAATCAGTGTGATGGTTGTTCTATGAAAAAAAAACAGTGAGTGAGAATATCTTTGTCTGATGAGACCAGAGGATGTTCTGCCTCCCATCTGCTTTAGCTGTTTGCTGCCACAGGTGCTGCCCAGGGATGTGGCAGTTGCTGCTGGGGGGCTGCAAGGCCCTGGGGAGCAGGAGAGGGGAACAAGCTGACATGTGCCTAGTATATTTCCTAAGAGCGTAATTTGGGATTTGGCCCTCATGAACTTTATTGTCCTTGAACAGGTGGATTACATATTACCAACATCTAACTCCTCTGTGGCCTATGAATACGGCTTCATCTACCCAGAACTGGATATCAGCTGCGATCTTGAAAACACTCCTACGTTTGCTTCTACCTTTTTTCCAGTGCTGTACTCCCTACTCTTTGTGACTGGCCTTGTGGGAAATTCTTTGGTCATTTGGGTCCTAATAGCCCTCAAGAAAGTCAGGTCCATGACTGATGTGTATCTGCTGAA